ATAGTGATGACATATGAACTAAGTTAATGGTCTTTTATTTGGTTGGTGTGTTATCTCCGTGTGCGAATTAGGGTTTAGACCTCTCAATCTTAGGTTACGTACCTTAATTTACTATGGTTTTAGGATGGTAAGATATGCTCCTTAATTAATTTCATCATAACGCTTAATTCAATGTTAAGAATAGTCAATAATTATGAATTTTAAAAGAGTACTAATTTCATAAAAGAATTATTGAGCCTAGTAGACATTTGTATTGAGCCACCACTCTAGGCCCGTATATGGCTGTATACTAGAATAAATAATATTTAATGACAAAAAATAAGTAATCAATATGATTCACTGATTGTCAAGACTTATGACATGGAATGACTTATGACGAGTAAATTAAAAATTTCTAAGCAACCAAATACCATGAAAAGCTCGATGAAAAATTCTCATGGTTTAAAAGTTGGTCAAATACCAGTCTCATAAACACTTCTAACAATCTTTCTATTATGCTTCATATAAGACAAATTCAAAGACCAAATAATGCCATAGCAAAAGCCTACGGCATAAAAAAAATCAAAAGAGAAATAATATTTTAAAAATAAATTAATATTTTTAATTATATAAAAGAAAAACTTTAAAATAAATTATAAAACTCTCAAAAAGCATCATTGTAGATTAGTCTTGTTTTTTTCTTTTAAAAGACTCACAGAACAAGCCCACGTTCAGAAAGTAAACTGGTCCAATGGATTATGAGAGATTTTCCAAATTTAAAGGCAGAAAGTCCAACCCAGAAACTAAATTTAGCTTAAAATGGTCTCTTTTTTAATCAAAATAAAAACTGGACATGGTCATTCTCCCTTCCAACTACTTAGAAATTTCAAATCAAATTGTGGAACCCATTACTGTGTTGATTTCTTTCTATCTTATAAATACAGTTTATAGATTACTAGCTTGTATGAAAAAGGGCCTGGGTCAATGTATTGGGCTTTAGTTACTAGGATGGTTTCACCACATTGGATCTAAACTAAATGCGTTTCTGAGGGTTTCTTCAAAAGGTTCACACTTAAATCATACCATATAATAGTTAATAATAGCTCAGTGAGTAAGAAGAAGAAGAAAAAAAAGTGTAACCCCTAGAATATCTGTGAACTGGTTGGTGAGTTCTAAGATCCGATATGATAGAGAATAGGTGGCAGAGAAAATGAAGACACGTAAGACAATATACAAGATAGTTAAAGGACCGGCCACAACTAATAATTTATCACAGGTAAGCTACTACTACAACACCTGGACCAATAGCATGCTTCCATGTGACAAGATCGGGTTGTTGAAAAGTCAACTTGGTCTAAGATTTCTTTCACTTCAGTTTCCCTGCTTAGTGGTTAATTTCTTCCTTTCCTATATGCTTGTAAGTTGTAAACAACTATTTTAAGTGTCTCCTATAACTTTTTTTGTCCAAATTATGGTTTAAAAGTTTCCAACTAAAATTCACATGTGCTAAACTTGAAATGGAATTCAATTTTGTGTAGTGAACTAGTTTAACAACTTTAAGCACTAGTAATTTATCTTTGTATAGCAGAATTATCAAATGAACATTCCTGATACTTTTGATAAAAAAAAAAATAGTGGGATAATTCCCACAGAAGCAAAATGCTACTTTGAAGTATGTAGACGATCCATTAGTAAAAATTATATAACTGGCTTTTTTTCATTGGTTGAATAATAGTGAGTTTTAAAGCTTCGTTTTCATTTTAAAATAACAAAAGCACGTAACAATCGCTCGTCTATAAATAACGAGAATAAAAATATTAGAAACTATAAAAATTTGTAACATGAAGAATATTTAGGATGGTCAAAGGTAATTAAAGAAGATATAGTTATGAAAGGCACGAGCAGTGTTGAAAAAGTAAAGAAAGTCACAGTTTTGTGCGCCATGATGCCTCGCTAGCTAGCAATGAGTTGGTCATATCTATATCTGCTTCTAATCCTCATGACCCTATTTAAGACCTACCTCCTTCCCCTTTAACATTCATCCAAACATTATACAAATTCTAAGCACCACAGCATTGATCAAACACTATACTATCCCAAAATGTCTACCATTTTTCTCTCCAAGTTTCTACTCCTTCTAATGATCCTACTCTTGAACCCTCATGCCAACAACACCAAAGGGTGTTCTGCTACATTCGTTTGTGTGGCTGATGCAAGACCCTTGGAACATGATAATGTTCCTAAATACATAAACTTGAAGAAGCCTGATAAAGGCAAATTTGGAAGAAGAGGGTTCCACGGAGGGAGCGTGGAAGCTTGCATGCCAAAAGGGTTTCGACGATCTTCTGCACCAAGCAGATACATTAACTATCAGCCTCTTGGATCCACATGCTCTTCAACCAAGGTAGTGAATAATGGTCCTAGAGCCTGAGCAAATGTTCTCGAGTGTTGGTGAAAATGTCAAGTCATATACTTAACATATATACATGTGTGTATAATAGCCAGGTATAGAGACTGAAATAAGAATAATGTAAACCTATTACCTAGTTCATGAAAATCAAGCAATATGTATTATCAATACTTTTTTCTTTGCATAATCCTCTATCCCATGCTCTTTATTTTTCTTTGCATGAATGCAATTAGGATCGGAAATAAGTTGAATTTAATTTAACTTAGACTTATTTTGCAGTTTGATGTACATTTTTTTTTTCAACTCAAATTTAACTTAATTCAAATTTTACAGCAAACAAAATGGATTTTTAATGACAATAAAAATGGCTATAGAATTTTTTATCAACATTTTCACATTAATCATTGTATACATTGTTGAGACTTGAATTTTTCTCAATACATTTCCAAGTGTAACTTAATTAGAATAGTGACTTATGAATCTAACTCAATGCTACAAAATCAACTTGTAAGGTAAGACTTATCATCCACTTATATACTTTTTAATTATCTTATCTCTAGTTGATGTAAGACTTAAATTTTTTTAATAAATAATTATTATTAATAGTAAATTTTAGTGTAATGTAAATATATTTTTAGTAATTATTATATATTAATCATTAATATTTTTTATTAGATAATAAAATAAAGGTAATTATTGTTAATAATAAATTTTGTTGTAGTGCTTATTAACTATTCGGTTCAATTCATTAGCTCAAATCATATGAATCAAGACTTAATTTTTTTTAATCTTATATATTTCAAAATTTTAATTTAATAATAGATTCTAGATAAAATAATTATTTTTTAATTTTTTAAAAGTAAAAATATAACTTGTCCTATTAACTTTGCAAGATTATAAGATATATGACTCTAAAAAAATATAATTACAACTAAAGTCTGCATAAATTGAAACTACTTCATCTTGTATAAAATAATAGAAAATTCAATTTATACTATGAAAGTCTAAAGTGTTTACTTCTTTTATTATTATTAACCTATAATGAAATTTTGAAAATCCTTTCAAATTTTAATAAGTTGAACTTAAATAAAAAAAATTGATATATTTATATATCAAGCTAATTTATGAATCAAATAAACTAAATTATTCGTAACTATTGAAGTTTAACTCATTTATTTATTAAATTCAATTATTAGCTCAAATTCAACTCATTTGATTCATAAATCAAATTTAACAAGTTAATTATTAAATGAATTTTGAATTATTTTTATTTAGTTTGGTTGATTGTCACTCTATATACATTGCATGTCAATTATATTTAAACCTTCGAACATCTATTCTCTTAATTTCTAATTGATTCTCGTTTTACCATTTTAAAAAAAATTATATATAAAGATTGACGCTTTTAATTTCTAATAAAATGTTTACACGTCTATTCCAATTTTACTTTCTAATAAATGTTGTTGTCTTGGAACACATAATAAATTAACCATTACGGAATCATATGTGTCATGTGAGGGTCATTTAATCCAAAATAACTCGTTTATTGATTTGTATTGAGTTCAAGGAAAACCTGCAGAACGCCACATCTGCACAATTCATTTCATCCCCTACAATCAGTGTTTGCAAAATAAAATAATAAATAACCGAATATAAAAAAATATATCATTTTTTTGTTTTGTCCGACAATATTGGGAGCTTTTGTTGGAATGGTGATGGATTCGATCATTAATTTCAATCAACAAAGACACGTCAGTTATTTAATTTTTAATGTCACTGAAATGTTATATAATATATAGTGACACAATTTGTGTGGTCTTGAAAATTTGAATTCATGCTCTGCAGGGTTTACGCCCGGTTGAAAGATTCACTGAAGATTTTGACTTCATGGCTATGAACGAGAAATTCAAAAAGGATGAAGTGTGGGGCCATCTAGGTAAAAGCAACAAGTCTTCAAAGGAAAAAGAGGTGGAAGAAAATGCCAGTGAAGATGAAAGTCAAGATGAAGACAATGGTGATGTATCAAAAGTGGAATCGAAGGTAATGCCTTTACCATGTTGTCTATAACTCTCACCATATTCACTAGATTTCTTGTCACAATTTTCATGGTTTCCACAGCCTGTTTACAACAAGGATGATTTCTTCGACTCACTCTCTTGCCATGCGCTTGACCTGAGTAAGGTTGAGAGGCAGAGTAAGCTCCTTAGGATGTTCATTGAAGCAGTGCTGAATTGATTTCTAATCCCTAAAATTAGTTTGTGGGTGGTGTCGGTGGCCAAGCCAAACCAAATTCTGGTTTGCTGTGCTCTAATAGTGGTTGCCATTAAAATGGTTCTAGTTGATATTGTAAATTTGTCAATGCACCAGATATTTCATTGTCGAAATCAAATTTTGGTAAAAGAGATATTATTTCATCAGTTTTACTTTTACATTAGTTTGTGCTTACAAGTTGAAGCCCCCTTACTAGTGAGACAGATGTTTAAGCCTGGTTAAGTAGATTTAAATGTTATGTTGTTTGCTTGTTTATTACAGATTATATATATTTTTTGGTTGGATGAAAACTGCTGGCCAATGGCCTGGACATTAGCTTCCAAATTTGCGAAGGGTACAAGATTTTGCTCTAACAATGTGGATTGCTAATAAAGTGAATTGTATCAGCTTTGAATTTTATTATCACGTTTCCATAATTTATGCTGCTAAACAACTTTCTATGTGTTGTTTACTGTCACAAGCTGGCTTGGTTGGTGATACTTTTTTTTATGGTTTTTGGGCAGTGCGATCTTTTGGAACAGAAGGAAGGAAAAAGGATGGTCCACAAATTCCTCCAGGTGACAAGGTGTATGAGTATATACTGTTCCGCGGAACAGACATCAAGGTATCATAAAAGAAACATATACAGACACCTTTACAAAATAGTTGATGTTTGCTTTGGAAAGAATGACATGCAATTTCTTTGTAGTTATTTTTTGGGGGACCTACTTGTTCTTGAAGCATTGCAATACTGAGACATTTAGGCATATTTTCTGGCATTCATCTTTACCTCAATCTCTTGTAGAAGGTCTGTTTCTAGTACTTGCTTCAAAACATATCTAAGATCACTAGATATGGAAGTGGGGATAAGAAAGCGGATCTTGAATATCATGTTCCGTTTTATAAGCATATTGTTATTACATGACACCTACTTACTGTTACTGCTTGAGGGCTTTGAGTTATTTACATCATTACATGCCATTCATATTAATCAGATTGGCTGAAAACATCTATAATTCTTTCTGCAGGATTTACAGGTTAAATCTTCTCCACCTGTCCAGCCTATTCCACCGATAAACACTGATCCAGCTATTATTCAGGTTGATGAGCAGCTTTTTGGATACACTATGCATCAAACTATATTAATATCATCCTAATTTGTGGAATTGCCTTGCAGTCTCAATATCCTCGCCCTGTCACCACATCTGCGAGTTTACCAGCCGTAAGTGGGTCTTTGGCTGATCTTAGTACTCATGCCCCACAGCTCGGACATCCTGGATCAAATTTTCAAGGGCCCATGCCTTTATATCAACCTGGAGGGAACATAGGGTCATGGGGAGCGTCTTCAGCTGCCCCAAATGCAAATGGTGGTGGGCTTGCTATGCCTATGTATTGGCAAGGATATTATAGTGCCCCAAATGGACTTCCTCCTCATTTGCACCAGCAATCTTTGCTTCGACCACCGCCTGGCTTATCGATGCCTTCATCTATGCAGCAACCAATGCAGTTTCCTAATTTTAGTCCCGCTTTGCCAACTGGGCCTTCAAATTTGCCAGAATTACCATCATCTTTACTCCCTATGGGTACTAGTTCTGCTGGTATAACATCAACTTCTATACCCTCATCGAATCTTGCATCAACCTTACCTCCAGCTCCTTCTGCTACACTAGCTCCTGAAACTTTGCAAGGATCAGTTCCAAACAGGACATCAACTGTTTCGCTTCCAGCAGTCACACTAGCAGCTAACTTACCATCAGTAACTCCTAGTGGTCCAGATATCAGTGCATTAGCACCACTGATTAACAAATCTAGTGTAATTTCTGGTTCAAGCTTGCCATACCAAACTTTATCCCAGATGACTCCTGCAATTGTTGGATCATCAAATTCTACCTTGCCATACCAAACTGTATCCCAGACGACTCCTGCAATTGCTGGGTCATCAAATTCTATCCTGCCATACCAAACTGTATCCCAGATGACTCCTGCAATTGTAGGATCATCAAATTCTACCCGTATAGAAACACCAGTCCCTTCTCTGGTAACCCCTGGTCAATTATTGCAATCTGGACCAACTGTAGCATCTTCATCTCAGACCTCACAAACACCTCATAAGGATGTTGAAGTGGTTCAGGTATCATCAACGTTGCCTCCAGAGACATCTGTCCCAGTTTCTGCTGACACTCAGCCACCAATATTGCCTTTGCCAGTAACTTCACGGCCCAGCCAGAGGGTAATCTTTCATTGCTTTCTCTCACACATACATGCAGCTACACATGGTAGATTTTGGTTTTACATGCGCTTTATCTTTATATATAATTAGCCCATTGGATACTGGAATCATGCTAGTAGATTGAATTATCCTTTCATCAACATTCATGTGTGCAATTAGATTAAACTTTCACGGTGAACTACTACAGGCAGGTGCCTGTTGCCCATCCCATAAACTACACCTTGATCAAACAGGAATTTTGGCAGTTGTGCTCTATATTTTAGATAACCTGCTTTGTTTTCCTCCACCCTATCACCTGTCATTTTGTAGAGATTTTGAAGTAGAATTTGATCAGGTTGGTCTATATAGTTTAACTGGTGAACTGCCATGTGTGAATTTTAAAGATTGATGAACCATCGAGCCTTCAAATCTTCAATTTGTTTCTGTTCTTACATTTATTAAATAAGTTTAGCTATTATTAAGACAGAGCATTTGGGCACGGACTGCAAATATTATATCTTATTACCATTTTTTTAATCGTTGTTATGATCAATTCAATTGACATTTGGTTGCATTTTCTTCAGCTCGGGGGAGCGTCCATCCAACCTCATCATGGCTATGGTTATAGGGGACGTGGAAGAGGAAGAGGAATTGGGGTATGCTCTGTTTGCTATTTCTTTTAAGATGAACCTGGAAGGACTTTTAGCCCCTTATATGTACAGAATTTGATAACTCTTAGGTTAAAGTGAGGTGTATTATTTATTAAGGGATAGGGGTGGTGTTACATAGAATATCTGAATTTATAGGTTTTATGTCTCACCATTATGCCAGAAGCATGGAATTTTGCTCAAAGTTTTTCTTGTTTTGTGTGGTCTTGAAAATTTGAATTCATGCTCTGCAGGGTTTACGCCCGGTTGAAAGATTCACTGAAGATTTTGACTTCATGGCTATGAACGAGAAATTCAAAAAGGATGAAGTGTGGGGCCATCTAGGTAAAAGCAACAAGTCTTCAAAGATTAATATTAATTTTGAATGAGATTTAATAATATATATTATATATATATTTGTACTTTTTAATAATATAACATATATTGTATTTATAATTTAGATAAAAATAATTTTTAATAATAAATATTGTGTAGTGTATAAGAGCATTTGTAGTGTATAAGAGTATTTGTAGTGGAGGTTGCTTATAAGCAACCTCTTGTGTCACATATGTTATATCAGCTCTTTTTCACTTTATGAGTTGCTTAAATTTTAGTAAAGTTGTTTGTAGAAATTCTCGTGCTAAAATTTAAGCAACCTATAAAGTGAAAAAAAAAAAAGTTGATGTGACATGATGTGGTACAGGGAGTTACTTATAAGCAACTTCCATTGAAGATGCTCTAAACTGAAATTAGACTTATTAATGCATGGAGATATAATACTAAAAAGACTTTTTTTTTATATGAGTGAGAGAAAAAAAAAACATTGACGTACTACTAAATGTTATAATTAGTGATTACCATTAAAATATACAAGTGATCAATACATTAATACGACCCAAAATTGTTTCTCTTTATTCTCATAAAAATGGCTTTCTCACTATATGTATTCTCAACAATACACAATGGTACTTAACATTTAACTAATAATCCAATCTAATGGAAAAAGTATAGTCGGGAATCAAAAGACCAAGAGAATCAAGAAAAAAAAATAATAGTAATTAAAATGATACACAAATTGATTCAAGGTTCCTTTTCTCTTTGAAAAAAGAAATTACAATATAAAACTATTTTAATTTTGTAAAATTTTAGATTTTTTAAACAATAGCACCAAAACATTTTGAGGTTTTTGTTTTTTATGATTTTCTTCATTATTATAAATTTGTTAAACACATTTAATTTGTTTAAAACTTAAATATGTTTTTAGTCTATATAAAATGAGTGAGTTTTGATTTTTGTCCCGTAAAATTTTATTTTTATTTTTCATCCTTCTAAATTTTGTAAACGATTATTTTTTTTATTCTTGCAAAATGGGCAAAGTTTGTTTTAGTCCCTATATTTTTTCAGCCCTATAAAATTTAAAGTCATTATTTTTATGAATTTGTAAAAAAAAAGTTATAAGTTTCATACACTATCAAAATATTACAAACGGTTGTAGATATCACTTAAAACGGTATTGACCTTTAAATAAATACACAAGTAGCTAAAAAGGGTCATATAATAATAGAAACTAAAAAATTAAATTTTAGAAGAATGAAAAACAAAAAAAAATACAATGATCAAATTCAAAATTATCTTATTTTACAGGGACTGAAAATATATTTAAGATTTTATTTAATTTTAAAAGTTTTTTTTACAAGAAAAGAAAATAAAATGACATTAAATTAGATTGGATCGAATTAAAACTATATTTTTAACTAAATTGATGGAATGATATATATTATAAAAAACAGTATGGGGGACTAGGTTTGAGAGATTTGAGAGCTTTCAATTTTGCTCTATTAGGGAAGTGGAGGTGGCGTTTATTAGTTGAGAGAGATAGGTTGTGGAATAAAGTGTTAACATCTTTATATGGAGTGTCATCCTTGACTTTGGAAGGTAGAATGGGTAGTGTGTCCAGGTGGTGGTTAGATCTGTGGAGTATTGATGTGTGTGATGGTATCTCTTGGGATTGGTTTTCTACAATAATGTGTGTAAGAGTTTTGGGTAATGGGCGAAACACTTCTTTTTGGAAGGATTCTTGGTGTACTACAACTCCTTTTTGTGTTCGATATGGTAGGCTCTTTTCTATTACTATCAACTCGGAGGCAACCGTGGCAGACATGTTCTTTGGTAGAGGGGGTGGTGTTGAGTGGAATTGGAGGTGGAGAAGGCCTTTATTTCAGTGGGAATTGGAACAGTTGGATCTATTAGTTTCTGATCTTCGTGGTTTTCAGGTTCAAGAGTATACTCATGATTCTTGGAGATGGAAAGCTGATTCAGATGGCAAGTATTCTGTCAAGTCAGCTTATCATGTTATTGTCAATGATTCTCTTTTTGCTGAAATACCATTACACAGGTTTATTTGGTGTCGTTTGGTGCCCTATAAGGTCTCTTGTTTTGTCTGGAGGGTATTGTTAGATAGATTCCCCTCAAAATTTAATCTTGTTAAGCGACATGTTCTTATTAATTCAGATAGTTCCTGTGTATGGTGTCAATATAGGATGGAGACTTCTTCACACCTATTCTTTGAGTGTTATTTTGCATATCATGTTTGGATGCTTTCCTTGGAATGGTGTGGCTTCACTTCTGTGCTGTTAAATAGCTTCATTGCTCATTTTGATCAATTTCTTGGGTTGCCTCTCTGTCCTTCCAAAATGAGGTATAGATGGGCTGTGATCTGGTTGACTGTAATCTGGAGTATTTGGCTAGCAAGAAATGCTCTTATTTTTTCTGACAAGGTGCTGTCTACTTTAGACGTGCTTGAATTGGTAAAACTGCGCACTTGGAAATGGTTAAAAGCGAGAGATAATTCTTTTTCATACTCATTTTCTTCTTGGGCTGAGTCCCCTGCCGTATGCCTTAATTTTTATTAAGTGATTTTGTTGGTGATTATTGCTATCTGGGTGTGTGTTTCCGACATAGTTGCGGCAATACTTTTGACAATGTTGATTGGCTTCACTTTGCAGTTGATAGTCTTTTTTTGGATTGTTAGTTTGGTTGTTCCACCTATTAGTGCAAGGTCTTTTATTGTATGATGTTTGCAAATTGATTTTAGGAGGTATGTAGTTATTGTGTTGTTTTCATTAACCACCTCCTGTTGTCAAAGGTGCACTACTTACTTTGGTTATGTTGTGTATATGGGTTGGAGTACCCCTTGTATTTCTCTTATTTAATTCAATTTTGCTTAGCAAAAAAAAAATCATAAAAAAATGATTAAATAAAAATAGTGAAATGAATTCCAATTCTCAAACCGCTAGTCTTGTTACTCCAATCATGTAGGTTTGATGATATATTTTTAGACAATCACTGTATTTGTTTACTTTGACCTAACTATAAAAATAAAATTCAAGTTATTTTTTTATATATAATTTTAGCTCAAAATTTTATTTAAAATTCATTTTTTTTTCTTGTCTTACATATCGAATAGTGAGAAAAATATCATGACTCTTTAAAAAGTTATTGCACTTAGTTACTTTTTTTAAAAAGCGACTCTCCCGGCCCCTCCCCTCCGGTGTTTTTTTGTTTTACAAGGCCCCTCCAATTAGGGGTGGGTAGACGGACCCGGGTCCGCGGACTGGTCCGTAAGTCCGCGAATTTCGCGGATATCGAACCTATTTTTTTCAAACCTGTATGATTATGTCTAATTTTTTAGCCCGGCCCGTGAAGTTCGCGGACTTGGCGGATTTAATCCGCGGGCTCACGGGCTAGTCCACGGACTTCACTAATTAATATTTTTAAATATTATGATTTTAATATTAAGTTGTGTATTTAATTTTTTAAATTACAATGACATTAAAATTATGTTTAGTTGGTAGGTATTTGTCATTTGAATTACTTTTATGACATTTTGATGCTTTTATTATTGAAAGTTTGGTACTATTATTTAAGTATTTGTAATTATTTTTATTTTAATATTTTAATATTTAGTATTTTAAACCATTTTAACTATTGATAAATTTTAGTATGATAAAATTTAGCTTATAAATAAAAAATATTTTTTT